GTGTGTGTGTGTGTGTGTGTGTGTGTGTGTGTGTGTGTGTTCTGCTGTTGAGGGCATCATGAAGAATACCATAATTTTCATATTTCTATATTATAGTATCTTTTTGTATACCGTATATTGTTTGATGGTCATGTTAAATGTTGTATTAAATTTGTAGGGATGAATCTTACTTTCTTCCCAAAATGGGGAACATTTATTCCTCAGGTGACAACACTTCCCTTTCTTTTGTATTTGAACTGGTTGTTTTTCTTGTTCTGGTTTAATACTGGGTAATTTACCTCACTTTTTATGGGGAGAACAAAACATTGCCTCTTTTTTCTCTAGGTGGCTTTCTTCCTCCAGAAGAAATAAAAGAAAGATTTGACAGCAACTGTATTACACCAGTAAGTAGTCTCATACTTTGCCAGCTATTGCTAACTCTTAAATGGTAGGTTAATTTATTTCCTTCTATCATTTTAGGGAACTGAGTTCATGGACAATCTTGCTAAATGCCTTCGCTATTACATAGCTGATCGTTTAAATAATGACCCTGGGTGGAAAAACTTGACAGTAAGTTTCACATTTTGGTACTTGAGAAAGATAAGAGTGATCATTTTAGGCTGTACTTTGATTTGACTGATACTGTCTCCCCCCCACCCCCCGTAAAATGCTGTTGACTGTCGGAGGAAAGAGAAGCTTCCAGGGTTATTAGAGATGGGGTACCCTGCATGGTCCAGTTTTAGACTGCTGAATTTTCTCTCAATGCCAATTTTGTCCTCTTACCATCACTGTGAAGCTTTAAAATGGAACCTGTGATAGGTAGATAGATAGATAGGTAGGTAGGTAGGTAGGTAGGTAGGTAGGTAGGTAGGTAGATAGATAGATAGATAGATAGATAGATAGATAGATGTGTGTGTGTGTGTATATATATATATATATATATATACAGGAAAGCAATTTTTAAGTTAAAATTTCTGTTGTTATAAATTGAAATGCAGCAAGATTAAAGTTATGGGACTGCCTTTAAAGAAGAGCTGTGTTCTCCTAAGTGTTTAAGTAAAATTTAAATGAAGAACTTTTATGTAATTTTAAGTACAAAGATGGTTTCACTATAAACTAGACATAGTAAATTATATTTAATGGGTATCTTTTATTGATTACTCCCAGGGCTTATATACTTTGTGGCTGTATCCTTGGGTAGCAGTGAGAATACTAGAAACTTGTAAGCTGATCAATTCTTCCTTAGCTAAATTTGACCAAAACATTTCATTTTTCTAGTCCATGTAATAAGTTTACCAATGAAACAGTTTTGGTTTAACAGTTTAACACACACACACACATTATGAAAATTTCCCAGTTAATGACACTATCTTAGTAGAATTATCCCAATTTATTTTAAGGTATTCAATTTTGATTTTTTTGTGCTAGAAAATTGGGGATGAACTGAAAGTGTTAAAAACTGTTTCTTATAGGTTATTTTATCTGATGCTAGTGCTCCTGGTGAAGGAGAACACAAAATCATGGATTATATTAGACGACAAAGAGGTAAAACTTCCTTATAAATATTTTGTTATATGTTCTATTAAAAAGATAAGCCACTGTATAGAAAATATATTCCTGTGGTATAAAATACATTTATAAAAATATAATACATCTTTCTCCCCCCTCTTTAGCCCAGCCTAACCATGACCCAAACACTCATCATTGCTTATGTGGAGCAGATGGTAAGTTTATTCTTTGGGTTTGATTCTCTTCGATTAAAGCAAAACAAGCTGATGGGTTTGTGTGTAGTAATGGATTATTCATGATTGCCTGGAAATTCTAAAATGCCTTGCTTATTTTATGTTTGAGAAGGAACTGGTATTGTTTAATCTGTGATTAATGTTTATTTATATATTTTTCAATCTTTTGATACTGCTGCACATGCTATTCAAATGGAAGGTTTCCCCAAGTGTTGACTCTTGAATGGTAGTCCACATTCTGTGCCCATGTGTCTGGAGGACAACTTGTTAGCTGAGAACTACTAAGAAGTTTTGGCTTTTTGGCTTTGCCACTTCTATTTATGTGTTTGGGCTTTTCTTTGTGTTGGTGTCTTCTGTCATGGTGGTGTCCTCTATCGTTGTTTGTGGTAGGGTCTTCTCGAAGTGCTTACTGTTCAGTGTTTTGTCATTGTTGATTGATAGCTGATCTCATTATGCTCGGCCTTGCTACACACGAACCCAACTTTACCATCATTAGAGAAGAATTCAAACCAAACAAACCCAAACCATGTGGTCTTTGTAATCAGTTTGGACATGAGGTCAAGGACTGTGAAGGTTTGCCAAGAGAAAAGAAGGGAAAGGTAAGAACTTTGAGATGGTAGTTCTGTCATTTAAAATTTTTCTGTTTTATTTTTTGTTGTAATAAAGTCTATGTATCATAAAATATACTATTTTAACCATTTTTAAGTTTACAGTTCAATGGCATTAAGTATATTCAGGTTGCTTCATTTTTAAAATGGATAAAAAAAAAGACTTTAAAGAGCACCGACTAGTTGATTCAGTTTTTACCTACTTGCTCTGTTACCCCTCACAGAAATGTATCTTTCGGAACTCATTAAAGGAAACGTGGTTTGAAAAGCATGCATGCATTCATTCTTTCTACTCTCTCCGTTTTTTCTAACATAGCTTATTATATCTACACGAGTCTTAGGTCTCCTAGTTAATAACGCTTCTTGTACATGATTTGTTTGTAGAAGTATTTGTTTCAGATGGTTATTTTTCTTAAAAAGAAGTATAAATCAAATATATTAATCTTGATACTTTTAAGTTACCCCTAGTTCCTACATATTTTGGGTTCACTTGATTATACTCAGTCCCCTTTGAATGGATTTTTATCTGATTTAAGAATATGGTGCCTCTTTAACAGACATGCTGAGTGAAAAAAGGAGGTAAAAAATATACTGTATATTCACAGAGGAGGGTCTAGAGGCATATACCTTGAAATGTTAATATTGGCTGGCTCTAGGTCGGGGTTGATAAGCTACAGCCCTCCAGATTTGACAAATGATCTAAGAATGGTATTTACATTTTTAAAGAGTTGTAAAAAGAAAAACATGAAAGAATATGCAACAGAGACCATATGTGTGTCCTGTAGGCTAAAATGTTTACTATCTGGTCTTTTGCAAAAGCGTTTGCTGATCCCTGGTCTAGGTGTGATTGGGATTATGGATAATTTTTTAAGATGGTTTGGTGAGTTCCATTTTTTTTAATACTTGTAAAATTTCTCTTTAGAGAAAGTCACAATATTTATTGAGTTGGGAAAAATGAGAAGGTTTAGAGTATACTTGTTTAATCTTGATTCACTTTCCTGCAGCATGATGAACTTGCAGATAGTCTTCCTTGTGCAGAAGGAGAATTTATCTTCCTTCGTCTTAATGTTCTTCGTGAGGTATGTAGCAGTAAACACTGGGATCGGTGCTCTGAAGCAGGGTGGCTTTTGATAGCTTTAATGGCAGCATTTCTTTCTCGTTGTAGTATTTGGAAAGAGAGCTCACCATGGCCAGCCTACCATTCACATTTGATGTCGAGAGGAGCATTGATGACTGGGTCTTCATGTGCTTCTTTGTGGGAAATGACTTCCTTCCTCACCTGCCATCATTAGAAATTAGGTATGTGTGTTTAAGTTTTCACACTAGTGTTTTAGCCGTCTTGCCTTTACAGTGCACACTGGTCCTAATGCGTAATGTTTGTTTCCTGGTGGCAGGGAAGGTGCAATTGACCGTTTGGTTAACATATACAAAAATGTGGTACACAAAACTGGGGTAAGTTCACTCTTGAATAATTTCAAAACAGAAGTATTTGCTTTTATAAGAAGATCATTTTACATGTATTTTATCACTTACAGGGTTACCTTACAGAAAGTGGTTATGTCAATCTGCAAAGAGTACAGATGATCATGTTAGCAGTTGGTGAAGTTGAGGATAGCATTTTTAAAAAGAGAAAAGATGATGAGGTAAAGTGTTTCTATTGCAGTAGCTAAATTGCTCCTGTCTCTAATAGGCTATGATGATCCTGTGATTGTACTTTTAACCTCTTTGAGTGCGTTCTTATATTATTATAGTGTATCAAACACCAACATAATCATGAGTGGTCAGTGCTTTATTTTATAAAGGTTGTGATGCTTGCTGTGTGGAACTATGTATTGTACACTGTGTGAGTTGCATTGTAATTTTTTCTCTCTTCATGATCTTAAGATATAAATCTAAACACCTGTCTGATCAGTAGGCTATGAAATGAGGATGCCAACACTAGAAGAATGCTGGGATTGAACTTGTGGCTGCCATGTTTTATAGGAAATATTTATGCCCTGGAAGACAGGTTAAGACCAAGGAACTTTGTACTCTGGTAGTAGAGTGTAGGGAATCAGGGTTGGACTGCATCAGCCAAGGCAGAAGCACTTGGAAGCACTTGGAAATTGATTACATGTGATAGGGTAAATGCTTAGGTGAGAGTCTGGGTTTCTGGCTCAGGCAGTTGGGAGATTCCTGGTGCCATTCACTGAGAATAGCAAGCACTTGGGGTAGAGCAGGTTAGGGTGGGGACAAGATGGAAATTGAATTGATTTTGGAGATACTAAGTTTGAGAGGCCATAGGATACTGGAGAGGAAAAAGTCCATGAAGCAATTAGATGGATTTGTGTAAAGCTCAGGGCAGAAGTCTTCTGAAAGGAGATTGGAGAACTATTAGCAGGTGGGGGGTACTTCAAGCTATGGGTGTGAACTTGAAGTCCCTGGGAGCCTGTGTGGAGTGAAAGTGCCTCCAACAGAAACCTTGAGAAACATGGACATTTAAGGAGGGGGAGGGACCAGTTCTAGAGAGAGGGGAGGAAATCCCTAAAGAGAAGAGAAGCCATTTGTGTTGTCTGAGGTGTCCAAGCAAGATGGACAGGCCCCTCACTAAGGAATCTACTCCTGAAATCATTGTTGCACTATATGCTAACTAATTTGGATGTAAATTTTAAAAAGTTGAAAATAAAACAAGTTAATTAAAAAAAAAAAAAAAAAAGATGGACAGGCCCCTAGTCTGTGGCCAGGGGTTTGGAGGCCCTCGGAGTCAGTGAGGAGGAAGGGCAGCAGCCTGAAGGCAGAGGGGCTTGGAGGATGGTTGTGGGGGAGGGTTAAGGGGGGCAAGGCAAACAGTGGGTAAAATGAGCAGATAATAGCTTCTTAGAGAATGAAGGAAGTCCTTTCAGATCTTAAGCGAATTCATAGGCCTATTTTGAGCAAATAGCAATATAGTAATACTGCTACGTTGCTTTGTGACCTCCTGTCAGATTCAAACATGTCATTATATCTGACAATATTTTATTCAACTTTCTTTACTGTAGCTGGTGATCTCTTTCTTAGAACTTTGGGTACCATTTTATGTAGCAAAGTGAGTGGACTGTAAGCATTCCTTCCGAAGCCTTTGGTACTTGGTAATCCACTGTGGTGGCAAGAAATTTTCACATGTAAGGTTCAAATAACAGAACTAACTTTGGGATATCGAATGTCTACCAGAATAGCCATTTTTAATTAAATCATCAACAATTACAGTGGCTCCACTTGACCCACTTCCATTTACGCTTAAGAAAAAAAACGTATGTACGGTGTACTACTTGATATAAAAACTTTTATTAGAACAGCGCTCTTACATGGCTTTAGCAGACTTTGTACTAATAAATATTGGTGATATTTGGCATTAGAGCAGGATTATGGGATTTGATAGATACCAAAATACTTAATATGGTTTCCAACTGGACTAGCAGAGAGGGTATTTTACAGCTTTGGATCTTTTTTGGTGTTCCTTGACATCATACAGTGTTCATCAGCAAGGTTGGTCTTTGGGGGAAATTTATGAACCCTCAGAAATTCAATGTAAAAGTATCCAGGTATATGTTTTTTCCTGGAAAGTGTGTCTGTGGCTTTTGACTGATTTCCAGAGGAGTTCATAGCACAAAATAGATGGTAGAAAAGTGATGCATCAATATTTGTTACTAAAATTGAGCAGTTGAAAGTGATGCTTTTTATTTTATAAGCTTTTATGTTTGTCTTATCTCACAAATGCTCATTTATTCAGCAAATATTTATTAAGTATTTATCATGTGCCAGATAGTATTCTGAGTGTCATTGATATAACAAAAAAAATACAAAAAAGCTGACAAAAATTCCTGATCTTATGGAGCTTACATTCTTCCAGAAGTGGACAATAAGCACAAAAACTAAGTAAAGTATGTAATATGTTAGTGATGAGTGCCATGAAGAAAATTAAAGCAGGTGAGAAAATATCTGGGAAGGTGGATATGAGGTCATTGCAGTTCTAGAAAAGGTGATTAGAGAAGGCCTCACTGACAGATGACTTTGAATAAAGACCTTAAGAATGTGAAGAAGTAAACTATACAGGTGTTTGTAAGAAGAGCATTTCAAGCCGGGGGGAATAGGCTGTGCAGAGGCTGTAGGGAGTGTACCTAGGATGTTGACAGAACAGTAAGGACCCAGTATGTCAAGAGCAGAGGAAACAAGAGGGAAGTGACAGGAGAAGAGATCAGAACAATGATTCAGGGCCCATTCTGGGAAGATCCTGTAGGTCATTATGAGGACTTAGCTTTCATTCTACATCAGTGGAGGGCTTTGAGTATAGAAGTAACAAGATCTGGCACATGTGAAAGGATTGATCACTCTAGCTGCTGTATTGAGACTATATGGAAGTAGTGAGCCTAGGTAGGAGGCTCTTTTGCAGCAATCCAAGGGAGCCAGCATGGTGGCAGTGGAGATGATAAGAGGTAGTTGAAATTTGAATATGTTTTGATGGTAGAGCCACTGGATTGGCTGATGTTAGGCTGAGAGAAGCAAAGTTATAAAGAATGACTCCAAGGCATTTTTGTCTGAGCAGTTGAAAAATGGTCTGAGTAACTGATAAAAAAGACTAGGAGGTGGTGGAGAGGTCCTGGTTGGAGACTCATCACCATTTACATGGTGTTTAAAGCCCTGAGACCAGATGACTATTCTCATGAGAGTAGAAAAGTCCAAGTATTAGGCACAGAGGAACACTAACATTAGAGGTTGGGGAGTCAAGGAGCAAAGGCATGCAGCAAGAGTGAAAGAGGAGAACCAGGTGAGTGTAGTGGCTGGGAACCCAAGTGAAGAGCATGATTCAAGATGGAGAGTCATGGTCAGATGTGGACTGAAAACTGACTAGTGAATTTTACAGTCTGTAGCTCATTGGTGCCCTAGATAAGAGACATTTCATTAAAGATGGAGAGGAAATCTTGTTTAAAGAAGTTGGTGCGTTTCATATCTTCGGAGGTTTTAAGGTAGTCATTCACCATATATCCAACATTCAGCTTCTCTTTTGACAGAAAGTACAAATTAAAGATCTTATTTAAGGATGTTATTTTACAGTTGGCATTACTGATCTGGAAGAGCAGAGAAGTGCAGGTAGTAAGGTGGCGGTCAGTACAGTAATTCTAGCCCCTGTTTTGGGCTGTCATAGGACCTCAGTTGACATTCCAGTGCCTTGATTCTCACAGAATCTTGGGCATGGGAGGAATGCTGGGGCCAGGGAGGCCTTTGAATGGCCAAACAGTTAGTGGGAAACAAGATCAACCCCAAATCCTGTTTAATTGAAACCGTGACTACATTTTGAAAATGAGCGGAGGGGAAGAATCCATGCAGAGTGGACCCTTTCTTGTGGATTAAATTGGCTCAGAATGAGCAGGGCAGACATCTGAATTTCCTTCCTTTCTTTCATTAGATTGACTTCTTAGAACCTGGTGTGTGGGGCAGGGGGGTGATGTTTGTATAGAGCCCCACTTCTCTCTTTACCCACTCTGTGCCATGCATGCTACAGAATTAGGAACTGTCAAGCCCTTTTTAGGTAACACAAGCTCATTATTAAATTGTCAGTTTGTTTTTAAATGGACATCTTGGTTATTAACTGTATACAGCTAAAACTTAGAATTATTTGTTTTCTTACTTACTTGCATCTTCTCCATATTGACAGCCTATTTGCTCCAGGGTGAAACCAAGAGTCTTTGTCATGACTTGTATTCTTTCCTGAAATGATGTCAAAAGCTTAAGTGAAAAAAATTAAGAGGAACAAATTATATCTAAACTCCATTTAGAATGATCTGTGTCCGTCAAAGGTTCTGATAAACAGCACTTTGAACATATGGTCCATTGCCTAGTTTAATTATATATGTCTAGGTTTCTGGGGTCTTCCTTTAAGACTTAAATTGTTTCCCAAATCATTCCTGGTAATGTTTAACTCTGACATTTTTGTGTAATTATTTGACAGAATATGTGGATTTTATACTTTTAGGACAGTTTTAGAAGACGACAGAAAGAAAAAAGAAAGAGAATGAAGGTGAGTTTTAATTAATTTCGTAAGATGGGCAATAGCCTAAGTTTACAGTTTGGGAGAAAGATGTTCATTGCAGTTGCTTTATTTCTTCTCTGATAGGAGTTGGTTAGGGACATAATGTCTACCCAGCTGCTGTCTTGCCTAGAGAAAGAATGCTGGTGTTTTTTCTAAGCTCTGGAGTCTGAAAGGATGCACTTGATGGGCATGGGGCACTTAGCTATTTGAATTTTTTTGTCATTATCAGGTATTGTTTCTGTAATAAAAGCAGTCAACCCTTTATATCCTCTTAAAAGTTACTGCATTCTGTCTACATCTGTTAGGTTAATCTTCCTGAAACTGTTGTTTCTCTGCTTGGAAATGACCCGTGATTTTTGTAGTTCCCTCAGAACCCACTTCTGTCTCAGTCTGGCATGCAGAATGTACTCTGATCCGGTCTGATTGTAGCCGCCCAGCTTTTCCCTCCTGTCTTCTGAATGTATCACGTCCCTCCTGACTCAGAGCATTGCCTGCACTTGCTAGCTCCGAGTGGATTTCTGACTTCACGACTCCCTCACATCTTAGCTTTTCCACCAGGGCCTCTCTTAAGGCCTCCACCCTCATCCAGGATTAGCAGTCCTTTCTCTGAACTCTGCTGCTTTTGCTTGTGATATTTGTTTTCTTACTTCTTGCATAATGCTCTGTAGTTACTTCTTTAGTTCTTATTTTTCTTCCTTCTTTACTAGATTTTAAACTCATGGAGTTTAAGGACTGCCTTTTATTATTATTACTATTATTATATTTTTTAAGTTTATTTTTATTTATTTTGAGAGAGAGATAGAGAGCAAGTCGGGGAGAAGCAGAGAGAGAAGGACACAATCCCACAATCTGTGCTGACAGCGTAGAGCCTGATGCGGGGCTTGAACCCACGAACTGTGAGATCATAACCTGAGCTGAGATCAAGAATCAGATGCTTAACCGACCGAGCCACCCAGGCACCCCATTTATTTTTATATTTTATTAGAAGTAAGCAAGTTGGGGACTCTGGAAGGGAGAAAAGTAGAGTTCCTTATTGTTACAGGTATGTTCAAAACCACTAGATTCAGAGGGGCATATTTGATTTCTACCTTATGTATTGCTATTTTCTTTCAGTCAGTACCTGTGTAACAAGTGTGTTGTATCACTCAGCCACAACTGTCACTAATTACAGCTCTAATTGGAAGTGAAGAGTTAAATTCTAGCTAGGTGAAGGGTAAATAAAAATGGTTTTTCCTAAGTATAGATTAAACTCTTGACTTGTTTTTTTAACCTTAATAGTTCTATTATTTTCATGTGCCTGAAATTGTTTCTTGAATGCGTTTTGAAATTGTCAGGAATCATAGAGTAGCTTAATGAGACATGAGTAGATTCTGTGTATCAGAACAATGTATTATGTACTTTTAAAACAGTTATTAAATGTTACAGGATATTGTTTACAGGGTGAGTTACCATCAGATCAAATTGTGCTAGCAGTTTGTAAATGCTAACAGAAATCCAGTTCCTCCTTTAAGAGCTTACAGTGAGAATCCTGTTCCATTGCCTTCTTTTCTTCCTGTTATCTGTGTTGTGATGTAATTTTAATTTCTACATTTGTTTCCACTTATGTTAGAGAGATCAACCAGCTTTCTCTCCTGGTGGAATATTAACCCCACATGCCTTGGGTTCAAGAAATTCACCAGGTTCTCAAGTAGCCAGTAATCCAAGACAAGCAGCCTATGAAATGAGGATGCAGAATAACTCTGTAAGTGACTTACTTTCATGTGGCATTGAAAAGTGGTGACCATCAGAGGTCTCTTGCAGTTGTGTGTGAATTTTGTTACTCAGCCTGGAGTTGTTTTGTAGTTTTCTCAATTTCTTTTGCCTTGAGATATTTTTAACTTTGCTGAATCCATGATTATCAATATGTAAATATCTAAATAACATGAAAGAAAAGAAAATGCATGCAAATATAGATAGCTAAGAGGCTGTAGGGTTTCTGTAATGCAACCAAAGGTACTGGGTGCTAGAAGCTTGAAGGGGACAAGAGAGAAAAATGGTTTTCCCCTTTCTTTCCAGGGATCAGTTATGGACATTTTACAGACTAATCCCAGTCTGTCAAAAATAAGCACTTCTCACTGCCCAAACCCTTACCCTCCAACTCAAGAATGGAATAGATTTGAATATATATCTTAAGGTAGCTCTCGCTATCCAAATTCTGGTTGCTCTGTACTTAGAAACTCGGGAACTGAATGGATTTGCCACCTTCAGTCCTTCCTTGTTTAAACTTGGTGATCCAAACTGAAGAAGCAGATCATCTCAGCCAGCAAGGCTGTACTCTGTCCAGTAGCTTCCTGTTGTTCGGTGGCAACACTGAGCACAGAGCACATGACAGGGCAGCAGCAGGGGTGAGGGAACAGACCACGAATTGAAGGACAGCAAATAATCAAAACGATTGCTTATTTCAGGTTGGTAGGCATAAGAGAGAAAATGTGTACTATAGAGAGAGGAAATATGTTTTGTAAGGCTTGAGATCTAGTGTAAATTTTTGTTATATATTCAAGGAAATTGTATAAGTTTTGATATTTAAGTTTCATTATTCTGTTATCCTATTTATGCTCAAATCCTTTATTACAGGGCAGTCCTATTTGTGGAATCTTTGCCATACTAGGAGACTGATTTATATTCTCGCCAGTTTCCATTTTGAAGTTTTAGAACCTTAGATTTGGAATTTGGGAACTGTGATTTTGCATCTCCTGAGAGAAGCAGCCTGGGTTTCTGTTCTGTTTTTTGTTCTGTTTGATTTTTGTGTTCTTGTCTTATTCCTTTCACCATTAACAGTGGGATATGCGATGAGGCACTTGAATAGAACAGAAAAGTCTGATGTCCATCATTTAATAGTGACTGCCTTCTCCACAGAGTGGAACTAAGTGACTTGTATTGTCAGACACCATGTTGATGATACAGTGCTTTTTTTCTTAATCCCAGGGAGTATGGCAGAGTTAAACTTGGCCAGCTGTGATTGCTTTGAGAGAGATTCCAGTATCATACTAAAGCTCCACAGGACTAGACCCACCATTGATTAATAATGTCTGCCATGGGAGTAGGAATAGGGAGATTGGTGATTAGGTTGCTTATTTGATCCTATCTTAATTCCCCTTGACACAGTTATTTCTGTTGGAGTCTTGGCGTAGAGGGTTTTTCATCTAGAATGTTATAAATTTAAGGAAATCACAAGGCTGAATTACCAGTTCATTTAAAGGTTGCCTTTTGAGTTACAGAGTTTGTGCTTTTTTTTTTTTTTAAAGCTGTTGGACATGTCCAGTATTGAGTAGTGTCTACTTGATGGTCAACGTTGTTAATGTTTTACTAGCTGGCTTCTGTTTCCTCATAAATCTGTGTTTTTAAGTTTTGCGTTCTGAAAAGTATGGTTTGACTATATCTGCAGCCATTTGATAAAATTTGATTGCAAAAAAGAGTTTTTTAAAAAGGAATTTGAATAAATTGGTATAAATCTGGTATGTTCACGAAAGACTATTTTTGTTGGTAGAGAGAGAACAAAAAAAGAGCAGTAGAGATTTGGTATTAAAGAACAAGCTACTTCTTTTTGTTTTCTGTTGCAGTTGTATTTGTTATCTAAAGAGTTTTCTGTTTGGTTTTTTTTTTTTTTTTATCTTGTTTGTCAGTTTGGGAAAGTTTGCTTTTTATCCAACTTCTTTGTACTTAGATGATTGCTATGAATATCATCTCATAATTTAATCCAAATGGATTTAGTGTTGGGTTTGAAAAATAAAAGTGATGACTTCTTGAAAGGTGACCCACCTTACGCCATGTAGGCAGCCTGTGTTGTTGATCTTTCATACGTATCGTTCATATCATTTTCCTTTAATCCTCGCAATAACCTCCAAAGAGAACATTATCCCATTTCAGGTTGAGGCTAACAGAGGTAAATTGTCTAAGGCTGTATAACCTATAAAGGTTGGACTTGGTATTTCAAACTCAGATCTGTCTGACTGAAAATACCCATCTCAGTTTCAAGTACAACCGCACCTTCCTGAATTTATTTTTATAGTTTTGTGTGTTTTTTTTAACGTATTGGCCATATAGTATCATGAAAAAAATGGAAATTATACATTTTTAAAAGAAAGTTATAAGCTCTGCTTTGTTGTAACTTTTTTTGACCTATGGTGTAAACTACATTCATAAAGTAATTTAAAAATAATTCAGTTTACTCACAACATTTAATATACTCTGTATAACAGAAGAAAAACCTTATCATTAAAACCTTTTCTGCCACTTGTGTTTTTGGTCATAACATGAAAAACTAAAGTTGCAGGAAATTTTAATTTTTTAATGAAATACTGAAATACTTTAGAGTGTTCACTGTGTTTCCTGAGTTAGTTACAAAGGGAAGATAATACTGAATTTAAAGTGGTATCTAAGTCTTTGAAATACTAAATCTGCATTTTTCTAAGTTACTGATAGATTTTTACTTGTACATTGAATTTTAAAACATTATCAATAATTTTATCACTTACCTGGCAGAGTGTCTTTAAACTGTTGATTTCCTGATGGTTGCGTGAGGTTGAGCACTTACCATTTAACTTCGTTGTCTCCAACATTGATTATATTGTATATTATTAATTTATGTATTTATATTTTCCCCCTCCCAACTTTGCTATTTGTTTGGTATAAAGTGGTTGTGAATTCATAATGTGAGGAACCACCAAAGAAAAAATAATCAAGCCCTATAATTTTTAAAAATTTATAAGATTAAATTCTTTTTTCTTCTGAAATAATTTTTATTCTGATAATGTTCAGATTCTTTTGAGTTTAAGCATAGGAAGCTTGAAACTATATTATTCTTTTTTGAAGAAGTGGCGTAGGCCAAGATCAGTCTTTGTATTTTCTAAATATGTTTACCATATCTATTTAATAGCTTTAAAAAATGTATTATCATGAAGCATGATTGTAACAGCAGTTGGATGTAACTTCTTGTGTGAAATGAATAATTAAATCCTTTCTGTGTAATGTTATAATTGTTTGCAGAGTCCTTCAGTGTCTCCTAATACAAGTTTCACTTCTGATGGCTCCCCATCTCCGATAGGAGGAATTAAGCGAAAAGCAGAAGACAGTGACAGTGAACCTGAGCCAGAGGATAATGTCAGGTGAAACCATTTTTTGGTAACACTTTGTTATCAAATTGCTGAAATAGATGCTGTCTAATTAATGCTATTTAGCTTAGAGCAGCATTGCCTTCAGATGCTTGCCTGTGATCTTTTTATCCACCAGTAATTAATGTGGAGGGTTAGAATAGTCAGTAAATTCCAGTGAGATGTGTAAGCTATAGCTGTTAAACCTAAGTATCTAGATTAGTATGCGTGCAGGTTTTTGTCCTCCAAGCCACTTTTCCCTCTGAGACCAGGCACTAGATCGGCTAGACATGAGGTGTTTAGCTCTGACTATGTGATCTGAATGTTACTGTTTTGAGATTAAATCTTCAGGCTGCTTAACACAGAAAGTTCAGTTACATTTGGATACTTAATATAGTTTGCTTTAATCTCAGTTGGAAAGTTTCTTCCTCAAATGAAATATGCAAAAGAGATAAACATGTATATTTTTTAAAACCACAGACTTGGATCTGTACAATTACATTTCATGACAGGGAAGTTTCCCTTTAGCTGTATACTTGAAATTTGTAATGAGAAATTTTGATTCTTTATCCAGAGATTTGAGATCATTATGTAAGATTAACAGCCTCTCATGTAATTAAATCCGTATTTGAACCCTGTGTTCCAAGTGCAAAAGGCCAACAATCTGAATAATTTTAACTAATTAAGAATTTAGCAAAATGATATATTTCAAAGTTAAACAATAGTGGTCCACAACTCATGCTTCTTTTATAGGACGTGGATGGTATGTTTGCATTTATGATGAGAAACTTCTCAAGTGTCATATATGGTTCTGTATTTTCCTAACGTCCTTTGATGTCAGATTCTGAGATCTTTGGTGACTTGTGATTGAACATTTACCTGATCCTCTGTTTCTGCAACTCTGGATTTTCCTCTTAGAGTATGTTTTCTGTTTTATTGTGTAGCCATCTTGATCGATACCAGCTTAATAGTTAACTTGATTTATTAGTACTTTATTGTGTAATCCCGGTGCTGAGAATAGTCAAGGTAGAAATGCTTCTATTAAGAAATGCTTGGGACCCTTAACATGTATTTCATTAATATTTTCTGTAAAACAATTACAGTCTGCATCATAGAGGATATTTCTCCTAAGTGATGTCCTGTGAATCCTTGGGGCAGGTGGGAGGAAATTAAAATTGATGTGGTATATTCTGGAACATGACTGCAATTTGTAAGATGTGGCACATGGTATAAAATAGCCCTTAAATGAGAATCATCTTGATGTTCTTGATCTGTCTTGTTTTGTTTTTTTAGTGTTCTTTGGCTTCTTTGTGTTCTTCGATAAAATGTTTAAATCTTTCAGAGAATGAAAAATGAGTATTTAAAAATATATATATACTTTTGAGTGAAAAACGTATAGTTCACGTGTATTGTCAGTGACAAATGAGAATTTAGTGAATTAGAAGTGAACCTACTTCTAAGTTTTACCAGAACATGCATATATGTGTTTATGTGTCCTTCCCTTAAGCCAACAGCTCTTAGCTGAAAGAAGAATAAGGCCCACGGATGGGGAAAGTAGATATAAACATAATTTTCTGCCTGGTTCCTAGATTATCTTATAAACCATTTTTACCTTTTAAAAAATTACACATGTAACTTTTTTTTTTTTTTTAAGTAATTTGATTGGCTTCCTTTATTTAGTTTAAATGTATTTTACAAACGGAGGACCTTGAAATATCTTCAGTATTTGAATCTTAAAATGTAGTTTTAGAATTGGTCCACAATCAAAAAACATGTAAAACAGTATTAACATTTGAGCAAACAAATACTCAGTATCTACTTTAATAAATAGTTATTCTTTTTCCAAAATGTTGCTAATTGTCTTACTAGAATCATCATTTGGGTTTTTGATGTTTATCTCTTAAGTTGATAGTAAGTCCTGTGTAAATGGGCTTTTAGAAGTGATTAAATAATTAAATGAAGCTGTGTTAGCATTACTGCTTAACTCATTAACATTTCACCTGGATATTAAATATAAAATGGTTTGGGTGATAAATCAGTGAACAATTACTGAAAGTATTCATTCCACATGAACCGGCTTTGCCTGGATTTTAGGCTATGGGAAGCTGGTTGGAAACAGCGGTACTACAAGAACAAATTTGATGTTGATGCAGCTGATGAGAAATTCCGTCGTAAAGTTGTACAGTCTTACGTTGAGGGGCTCTGCTGGGTTCTTCGATATTATTACCAGGTACAGAGAATATTTTCCTCTAAATCTACCTAATCATTTAAGGAGGATAGTAATTTCTATAATAATGTGTATTATTGAGCTGTGTTATGAAATTAAATCCAGACTCATTTTTTTAAAAGCTTCTTGTTCAGAAATTCATTACCTTAAATAATATTTGTTTGTAAACCCTTTGAAGCTTCTCAAGTGTTAATATATAAACAAAGATAATTTTTGTTTTGCTTATTAAAGATTTCGGCGTCAAGTAGTATGGTTGAGTGTACTTTGTCTTTAACGTGATTAAAGTATAATGGTTTTTTAATTGGAAATTAAAAATAACTAAGTAATTAATAGACAGTCACTAAATGACTGAACAAAGGACAAAGCCTAGAAAATACTAGTAAGAATTTGAAAGACATTTGAATGATACCATTTCCTCCGTGTAATGTAGTGATGTTACATGAAATGCATGATAATTGGAGTAATCTGTATCTGACTTTAAGCTTTTGATAATTGAGATGTCAGAGTGTGAGAGATTAGGTAGACATAGAGGGGATTGTAACACTAGTAGTTAATACCTGGTTTCGTTCTTGGAGAGCAAAACAAGTTAGGTTTGGTGTGATCTGAGAAAAGATGGAGTTTGTCATTAAGTGGAAAGTGTAATTTGGATGCATTAAGTTAGGTTGTAAAATACTGCAAATTCATGTTTTACTTTCGTCCTCAAGATTTTAATTCCCTAGGCATAGAATCAAAACATATTAGGAGGACTTTTCTATCAGTAAAACTTACTGTTTTCTTTTTGATAGGTTTACCTAAATATTTTTATAGTAAAGAGAAAGTTGTCACAATGAAAATGTAATAGGGAATTGTAAAATGAAACTTTTGTTGGCAGTTTTACTCAGTCACTGTTTCAGTGATGTGCCTTACCATCTATGTGCTATAGGTAAGTGCCAGCTACCACCACTCTTCATTCTGTTTGGTGATGGCAGCTGTAGAATTGGAAAGAAATACCTCCAAGCACATTTTAAGGATAAAAATCTTCACCAAATTTGTTTGTAAATATAAAGTTTGGTGTTAACTACTAATTATTAAAAATGCTTTGCAGTAGTTTGTGGGGTTTTTTTGTTTTTTGTTTTTTTGTTTTTTTTCTGGCGGGGGGTGCCTGGGTGCCTCAGTCAGTTAAGTGTCTGACTCTTGATCTTAGCTCAGGTCATGATCTCATGGTTCGTGAGATTGAGTCCCTCATCAGGCTCTGTGCTGATAGTGCGGAGCTTGCTTGGGATTCTCTCTTCTCTCCCTGCCCCTCCCCAGCTCGTGTGCATGCACACGTGCTCT